AAAGGAATTAGACACCATAAAACAAACCCATATTCACCTGCTGAGAATGGTGTGGCAGAAAGAAAAATAGGCATTTTGAAAAACTATGAAAGACTGCATGTTAGTAGATGCAAAAATGTCTAATAGGTATTGGGCAGAAGCAATTTCCACTGCTACATATATCTTGAATAGAAGTTGGAGTTCATGTGTAAATAWTAYTTGTTGCATAAGATAACATRTTATTTGTTGCATAAGRWAAGGCCAGTTCTAAAACATYTTARAATATTTGGAAGCTATGCTAATGTDCTGGTACCTAGACAAACTAGAACAAAAGGTCAGAAAAAATGGCAGAGACTACGTTTTCTCGGCTACYAGGAAGATACCAARGGGTATCGTTTTATTAAAGACAAYAGTAAAATTGTGATTTCAAGAAGTGCAAACTTTGAAAAGAATGCAGGTTGGGAACATGTTCATCAGAATAGTGAAGTGTTTTTTCATTTAAAGGAACATGCACCAACAGAGATAGATTTAAAATCTGAGCCTGACAATCACATTGAGGAACAAAGTGAGGATGCAATAAAAGAAGAGCCTGAGTTAAGTTTACAGGAAAGTGATGCTGAAGAGCAGGTAGTAATTCCCAGAAGGTCACAAAGATCAACCAAAGGTATACCTCCAGATAGGTTTGTGGTTCAGGGTGTAATGATTTGCCAACCAGAAATGGAACCTGAAACCTTCCAGGATTTAAATAACTGTTACCCTGAAGAACAAAGTAAATGGAAAAAGGCAATGGATGATGAATTTAATTCTTTGTTAAATTTAGAAGTGTTTGATATTGTAGATGTACCAATAGATAAACCAGTGATTGGGTGCAGATGGGTTTTTAGGAAGACTTACCTGATGGGAGTTGTAAATATAAAGCTAGGCTCGTAGCTCAAGGTTTTGCGCAAAAACAATTCGTAAATTATGATAACACCTTTGCCCCTACAGCTAAAGCTGAGTCAATGCGAATTATCATTGCTTTGGCTGAGCAAGAAGGATTTAAGTTGAAACATTTTGATTTTGAAACAGCATATTTAAATGCCACTATTACTGAGGAGATATATATGAGGCAAGCACCTGGATATGAAATTCAACCAGGAAAGGTTTATCGTCTTCGAAAAGCATTGTATGGATTGAAACAATCGGCCCGGAGGTGGAATCAGTGCATACATGAAGTTTTGGTGAAATTAGGATTTAAACAAAGTGTAGCCGATGCGTGTGTTTATACACTAGGTGAAGGCAAAGATAAGATAATTGTGTTAATTTATGTAGATGATCTATGTATCRCCGCACAGACTGACTCAAAAATACAAACTGTATATAYGTATTTGTCAAAGCATTTTAGGCTAAAAGATTTGGGATGTTTGAAACATTATTTAGGCATCRAAGTAGTTAGCAATGAAGGGGTGGTATTCCTAAACCAAACAAGAAAGATTTTRGACCTTGTCACTAAAGCAGGTTTACAAGATGCTAATGCTGTGCAAACTCCTTTAACAGGAGATTTCTTAAGACTAGAAGACACAAGAGAACTGAAAAATGTAAAGTTATATCATTCTTTTGTTGGAAGTCTTTTGCATATTGCAAATTGGTCACAACCAGATATTGCATATGCAGTAGGTTTACTTAGTAGAAAAGTATCAAAACCAACAGTAAGTGACTGGCTAGCATTAAAAAGGTTGATTAGGTATTTAAAGGGAACTGCTAATTATTGTTTGTGTTTTTCAAAAGAGGCTGACAAAGAASTGGTAATGTACGCYGACAGTTCTTTTGCTGAAGAAAGAGACAGAAAATCTATAAGTGGTTACATAGTGCTACATGGAAAAGCTCCAATCTGCTGGAGGTCCAGAAAGCAAACTACTGTTGTAGTATCTACGGCTGAGGCAGAATATGCGGCATTGTCTCAAGCTGCAAATGAGTTACTTTGGATTAAACAGTTATTTGATGATTTAGGTGTGGAATGTAAATTG